GGTGTAGTCCGCCATAGCGGACCCGAAGTTGGAGAAGTCGCCGCGCACCTGCAAGAAGACCACGACGAAGAAGAAGACCGAGAGAGAGAGAGAGAGAGAGAGAGAGAGAGAGAGAGAGAGAGAGAGAGAGAGAGAGAGATGAGCGATACAAGTTTGGTTGTCACGTACCTGTGAAGCTGCTGTGCGGTCCCACAAAGAAGAAGATTGCGGCCAAAGCCGCAGAGCTCCACCACGGAGTAACGAAGGAGAAAGAGAGAGTGGACACAGGGAGAGACCGAGGAAAGAGAGAGAAGCCATAGCCGATGAGGAAGAAGGAGAGACGATCAAAAAAAAAAAAAAGGAAGAAGAAGGAAGGAGAAAGCCGAGGTGAAAGGAGGCGAGGAAGGTGAAGAGAAGAAGAAGGTTGGTGAGGGAAAGAGAAGCCGGCAGCCATAGCCGAACGGAGAAGTTGACCAGGAGAGCTGACCAGGCGTTGACGGAACGTTGACCGGGGTTGACCAGGCATTGACTGGACGTTGACCGAGGTTGACCAGGAGTTGACCGAAGGTGTTGACCGGCGTTGACCCGAGGTGACCGGGGCTTGACCTTGGGTTGACCGCATCATTGACCGGCGTTGACCAAGCCGTTGACCACGAGTTTGACCAAGCTGGAGCCGGTATAATCTCGCTAATCCTTCAACCTATCCGTCGCCCTATGGATGTGCACACACCCAGTGGTACTTGCTGAGTCCAATCTGTCTGTCTCTTCTTTCTGCATCGAGTCTCTTCTGTCTAGGTGATAGTACTCTGTGGATGAAGGATAGGCCTTGTTGACCAAACCCCTGTCGGACCAAGTAGGGCTAAAGACTGTGTCTGACGACTCGACTGTCCCGGAGGCCTAACCCTCCCAAGCACCGGTACTGACCGGCGGGCTGCTCGGTGTGGCACAATAGGCTCGAAAGGCTGAGTTGTGGGCTGCGCGACAGCCAGTCTAAGTGTTGAGAGACCTGCTGATCGTGTCGTCCTGTTTGCGACGTTAAATAATTCCTGAGGAGTTTGGGGGATCTCCTTAAAAGGCCTCTCGATCAGCAACAGGTCTAGTAGTGACAGCCTTAGAGTAGGTCTAGGCTAGAGACCCTAGTTGACAGGATCCCTGTCCGGATTCTGTGAGTCTTTAGATTGAGTCAGTAGGTTTGTCAGTCAGGGGTTAGAGTCTACGTGGTGAGGTTTGGAACTGTCAATCCGGTTGTGCACTACACCCAGGAGCAACAAAAGAAGATGGCCGCCTTAGTGAGAGAGAATAGAGAAAGAAAAGAGCTCCTGAAGCAGGCGAAGCTGAAAGCAATCACAGAGGAGCAGGCAGCGAAGATGAAGAAGTTGGAAGAGGAGATGGAGGAGAAGAAGAAGGCTGCCGAGGTAGAAGCAGCAGCAGAAGCGGAGGAGGAGAGAAAACGCAGAGAAGAAAAAGGAGAGAGCAGCGGCATGAAGGAGGAGGAAGCGGAATTAGAGAAGAAGATTAGTGAGTGGATTACTAATTTATCGTTGGGGGAAGATGAGGAGGCACAAATGTATGTGCCACAGGATGAGAAGGAAGCGTTAGCCAGGGCGCTAGCAACAATCGAGGACCCCCTGGAACGGCAAGAAACAGAGGAGGAGAAAAAATTGGAGTGGAAAATGAGGATGAAGAGGGAAAAGAAGAGAAGGAGGGACGGAAGTTAATAGGTTGACCGAGGAGGTGGCGAAGGTGAGAGACTGCAGACAAGAGGTGCAGGCGCAGATAGACATTTCTGCCAAAATGGATAAGATGCTGGGGTACTTGGAAGTGTTGAGTGAGGCTTGGCTGGAGGAGCGCCAAGCCAACTGGGGTCACGATGTGGCCCTGAGTGCCATGAGGTCAGGATTCCGGGATTTTGTGCGCGACCTGGTCACCCACGTTGGGGGCGAAGTTAGGCGGTTAAGAGAGAACGTGGGAAAGTTTTGTGAGGGCGCCATCGAGAGTGCCAAAGCAGTAGCCGCTGTTGAGAGTGAGGCTAGGCCCCGTAAAGAGCCCGTCAAGCTTAAGTTCCCATACGCATATGGCGGGAAGAAGGAGGAGAATTTTGATAACTGGGAGGCGAGCGTCAATAGTTACGTGTACTTACAGCACATCTTGACTGAGGAACAAGTCCTCGTCGCCTTCCAGACCCTCAAAGATGAAGCGGCTAGTTTTGCTAGATCCCTTGTGCGCGCAGCCGGTTGTGAAAACAACCTCATTGCATATTCCAAGATCAGCCCCCTTCCTCAGTTCTTCAAACTATTGCGAGAAAGGTTTGCTGACCCAACGAGAGGCGTTAGGGCTCTTACAAGTTACAGACCATCCACTCACAACACTGGAGGAGTGCAAGAGCACTCAAGGGCGTCATGGACGACTTGGTGGCCGTCCCAGACCATGGGGTCACTGAGCCCCAGTTGGTCCAATTATTTTATTGTGCCATGCCGGAGCCCCTACGCGGGCATTTCTTTGATAAGTCTCAACAGGCTGACATCACGTATGATGTGCTAAGTAGAGAGGTGGTCCTGTTCGAGTCAAAGTCCATGCCAGTTTCCACTTTCTGGCATAAGGACTTGGATAAGGGGGAAAAGTGGAAAGGCCGTACCATCTCTGGCCAAGTCAGGGCCAAGGATCATATGATCCTTACTTTAGAGGAAGGTGGTACAAACGAGGTCCCATATAGTCAGATCGAGTGGGGCCTCGAGGACGAGGACAGCATCGTAGGGCAGGGGAGGTCCTATGCGGCTGTCGCGGCTGGAGGGAGGCCGCAAGGTAGAGGGGGAGGCCAGGGCCAAAGGGGCCAGGCCATGGGAGGCCGAGGACAAGGCGCATAGGGGGTTGGCGGACAAGGGAACCGCCAAGTGGGAGGTAGGGGTCAAGGTCCCCCGCTGAATCGTCAAGGTCCCAGTCGGTCCCCGCCGCAACGAGGTGGAAGGCCACCTCAAGGAGGATGGCACCCAGGGTTGCCATAGGGCAGGCCCTGGGAAGACCTGGGCTTGGACCAGGGCATATGGCAGGAACGCATTGACTTGGGTCAGTGCGTATTTTGTGGTATGACCCGGCCCATGTAATTAAATTTTGTCCTAAGTATAGACAGACCTGATGGGCTGCTCAACAGTCAAAAGGCAGCCGCCAGTAGGGGTCGCAACTGCCTCTACTTCAAGGCTATGTGGGGAAGCGAGCGCGTGCGTACAGGAAACTCCCAAACCACATAAGCCTATGGCAGAGGTTGTAGGCCAGTGCCTAGCTAGTTGTCCAGAGACTGCTTGTGTTAACGTCTCTCTAGGCACTTCCCTCGCAGGCGTGGCTGAAGAGTTGAAGGAGAGAATGCCTGCCTGAGCCAAAATGAAGAAAGAGAGTAAAGGACAACTGATTTTAGTTGATGTAGAAGTTTTCAGGAGTAGAGTAGGGGCCCTTATAGATTCAGGGGCTACCCATAGTTATATTAGCCGTAGAGCGCTGAAGAAGCTGAGGCTAGGATTGAAAATCCAAAAATTGGCAGACCCCATAGTTAGTGTCCTCGCAGACAGCCGCACTATGCGTGTTGAGGACTATGTAGAGGGAGTCCGGGCGTATTTTCGCCTAGAGAAAGATGGGAAGGTGGAGAAAGTTCTCCATTCCCTGGCTCTCCTCATGCAGGATGACCTCCCTTTTGACATAGTGTTAGGAATGGATTGGGGAGAGGCAACAGGGGCCACACTCCACTTGAGAGAGCATGAGTGTAGGCTCCCTAGTCCGTCAGGCGAGGTTAAGACTGCCCGCCTGTTTCATGTGTCAGGTGTAGACAACACCTTGGCACATTGTTGTCTCAGTGCTCCCGCGTTTGCGCGACTAGTGAAAAAGGAGCAACTAGAGGACCAGGTCTTTGTGGTATATGTTAGACTTGTCACTGAGCCTAAGGAAGGGGATAGTTCCACGGATCCAACCATTGCCAAGCTGTTGGGGGAGTTCAAAGGTTTGACCGAGTCGCCGACAGGAGTAGGACCGCGACCGATCCAACACAGGATAGAGATAGAGCCTGGAAGTAGAACTCCTAAGGGAGCAGTCTACAGGATGTCCCCTAGAGAGTTAGAGGAGCTGCGCAAGCAGTTGGACGAGCTCCTGGAGAAAGGTTGGATCAGGCCCAGTTCGTCTCCTTTTGGAGCACCAGTTCTGTTTGTCCCCAAGAAAGAGGGAGAGTTGCTGATGTGCATAGACTACAGGGGTTTGCTGCCATCACAGTGAAGAATGTTGAACCACTGCTCAGGATAGACGATCTTTTAGATCGGGTGTAGGGTTGCAAGTGTTTTTCAATGATAGATTTAAAGTCCGGGTATCATCAGATAGAGGTTCGTCCTGGTGACCAGTACAAGACTGCGTTTCGGACTAGATATGGACACTATGAGTTTATAGTAATGCCCTTTGGACTGACCAACGCGCCAGCTACATTTCAGTGATGTATGAACGATCTATTTAGGTCGTGGTTAGACAAGTTTGTAGTAGTCTATTTAGATGATATATTAGTTTTCAGCAGGACCCTCCAAGAACATCAGGGTCATTTGAGGCAGGTCTTGGAGAAACTCAGAGAAGCTAACTTCAAGATCAACGAGAAGAAGTGCGAGTGGGCCAAGACGCAAGTGCTGTACTTGGGCCACGTATTAGACGGAGATGGCATTAAGCCAGAGGACAGCAAAATGGCGGCAATTAGAGACTGGCCAACACCCCGAACATTGACAGAGCTGCGGTCGTTTCTAGGCCTAGCTAATTACTATAGGGAGTTCATGAGGAACTTCTCTACTATTGTCGCTCCCTTGCGCAGGTTTCTCAAGAAGGAAGCAATCTGGCAATGGTACAAAGACTGTCCGTATGCGCTGAAGAAGTTAAAGCGCGCGTTGATAGAATATCCTGTCCTCAAAGTAGTTGATCCGTCCTTGCCATTTGTAGTCACCACGGACGCGAGCCAGTATGGTATAGGCGTCGTGTTGCAGCAAGACGACGGCAATGGCTATAGACCCGTAGAGTTCATGTCAGCGAGGATGCCTTCAGAGAAAGTAGCCACCTCAACGTATGAGAGAGAACTCTACGCTCTCAGGCAGGCCCTAGAGCATTGGAAACATTACCTGCTTGGGAGGCACTTCAAAGTATACTCAGACCACGAAACTCTTAGATGGTTAAGGACCCAGGCCAAAATGACACCTAAGTTGACTAGGTGGGCCGCTGAAATAGACCAGTATGACTTTGAGCTCAAACCGGTCAAAGGCAAGTACAATGTAGTTGCGGATGCTCTAAGTAGGAGATCAGACTACTTTGGAGCCATAGTTCACTATCTAGATATAGGGAAGGACCTGCAAGAGAAAATTAGACAGGCATATGCGCAGGACCCTATCTGCAACGACCTCCTCAAGAGAGTTAAGGAGGCCCCTGAGACCGAACCACACTACCACACTACAAAGGGACTGTTGTTTGAGAAGACTGATGTAGTAGACCGCCTGTGCGTCCCCAACAACGAGGAGATCCGTAGTCTGATCTTAGGGGAATGCCACGACACCGAGGGATACTTTGGTTGGCAAAAGACTTTAGCCAATCTGATGCGTGCGTATACGTGGCCAGGAATGAAAACTGACTGCATAGAGTATGTTCGCAGTTGCGAAGTTTGCCAGAGGAATAAGACTACCACGCGTGCCCCTCTAGGCCTTTTCGGACCCTTGCCTATTCCAGACCAGCCTAGGGTTTCAGTCTCCATTGGCTTCATGGATGCCGGTGTCAAGAGTAGACACGGCAAGAGCCAAGTCATGGTCATAGATGATTGATTCAGTAAATATGCAGTTTTTGTTCCTTTGCCTACAGAGGCACGCACGAAGTTTGTTATTCAAAAGTTTTTTGATCATTGGATTAGTGATCACGGGGTTCCGCTGTCTATAGTTAGTGATAGAGACACCAGATTCACGAGTCAGAACTGGCAGGAACTAATGAGAGTCTATGGTTGCTGATGTCATCTGACCGTCATCCAGAGACTAACGGTCAGACAGAACAGATGAACAAGATCCTGCAGCAAGTTTTGCGCATGTATATTAGACCGGATCAAGTCAATTGGGACGAGATGTTGCCCAAGGTAGCCAGCGCATATAATAACAGCGTGCATTTATCTACCTGTCGCACTCCCAACGAGTTACACAAGTCCTTCAGACCCCGCAGACCGTTCGAGGGACTTACCCGGGATCAGATTCACAGGCTACCGCCCGGGACCAGGGAGTTTGCGATATAGCACGAGAGAGAGAGAGCTATAGTTGTTGAGAACCTCAGAAAGGCCCAACACAGAATGATAGAACATGCAAACAAACACTGTCGCCCATCTCAGTTTCAAGTAGGCAACTTAGTCTGGGTCAAATCCAAAGAGTTTGCCCCTGAGGAAAACATCTCACAAAAATTACTGCATGCGTACAGTGGACCGTGGCCAGTTCTGGAAGTCAAGGGCGAAGAGGATGGGCCGTCTTACACAATAGAAATCCCAACACACCTCCACACCTATCATGTATTCCATGCATCAAAGTTGTTGCCGTGTGTCACAAGTCAACAGTTCCCTTCAAGAAGATCCATGATCCCTCCGGATATGGATGGAAGATATGACATTGACGGCATTGTAGATGAAGATGTGTTCAGGACAGGAGGTAGAGGTCGTCCACAGAAACAGTATAAGGTCCGGTTTGCTTATCAGGAACCGGAAGACGACCGCTGGTTTACTAGAACATAATTTCTAGAAACAACTCCCGACATAGTCCGAGCCTACGCGCGTGATACAAAGGGTAAAGGTCCTCAACTGAAATATTCTCGAAGGACCTCGAATTTAGGACGGTGGGAGTGAAACGGTTTTCACCTTTCTGCAGTAGCAGATGCAGATCCCAGGGCTCGATCCCTAGTCCTTACCCCACCATGTACAGTACCTGTGTAGACCCCGAGAGTTGAACCCGTGACCTGTGTAGGCTGTCATAGGTCCGTAGGTTGTAGGGGTTCGATCTGTAGGTCTGTCGAATAGAAGTCTTAGTGAAGTCTAGAAGTCTTAGCTGTAGCCTTCTAGAAGGTCGGCAAGTGGGCAAGTGGACAAGTGGTGAGCCAATTGGTGGACTAACTGCAGTGTGATTGCAGCACGACCCCAGTAGGTTAGTAGTGAGTCCATAAGCAGTCAGCGGTGCAGTCCAGTCAGTCCCAGTCCAGTCCAACAAGTACCATGAGGGACTGTGTGCACCATGGGCCGATGGAAAAGGGCAGACCAACGAGCTGCAGAAGTATAAATCAAGCGGCAGCGCCCAGCCATTCATTCATTCCTGCGTGAGCCATGCGGAAGCGCTGCCACAACGACTTGTGCAAGGAGGTCTGCAGTGAGCCCGAGGACGAAGTGGGCAGAGAGACGGAGTGTAGCCATAGCGATAGGGTAGAGGCGGCCATAGCCGCCATAGCTATAATTAGTGTTCAGTGTGTGTGTGTGTGTGTTCAGAGAGACGCGTGTGGGATATCCAGGGTGATCCACTGTATGCGAACAGAGAGTTGTGTGGGCGTTATATCGTCATAGCGATTGGAAGTGAACTCGTATCTGGATTGCCATATCTATGAGTTGTGAGAGGGCGCGAGTCGCCAGTTTGCTGCGCTACTGTTTGCATGCATGTAAAGTGTGAATGAAAGCAAGTCTGATTGCATAATATGTGTATTCCTAATTTCCTATGTATCCCAGTATCCTATTGGGCCAGTTTCCAACTTCCAATTCCCCTGGAGCCTGGAGGCCCTGGACCCTAGTCCCCTGCCTTGGTGGAAGGGTGTTCGCGCCCGTAAGGGGAAAAAATTGCAGGCTGAAGGAGTTTTCCTCACGTGAAAAAAGAGTTCAGGCCATTTTTCCGTTGGGCCTGGACAGACCGTATCAGAGTGCAAATGTAGTTACCTACATTCAGAAGTTCTTCGTATTGTGTAAGGTTTTCAAGCCTGGAATCAGGCAGCGGGAATCAGCCTGCGGCGCAGCCTTTGCTAGGCTGGGTAAGCTTCATTTCCGTTTCGAATTTCGGCACTCCACTTTTCGGAAATGGGAGCAAGGAACAAGGTAGGGAGGGGTGCGGGATGGCACCATGGTAGGGAACTAAGCAAGCGAGCAGGGAACAGGGTTGGACGAACGCCCAACTCCCACTTGCAGTTGGATACACGGAATTGTCCAGGTGGGGAAATGCGCAGTGAGGGGGGGTGAGAGAGAGAGAGAGAGAGAGAGAGAGAGAGAGAGAGAGAGAGAGAGAG